GGGCGCCGGGCGCGAGCCGAGGAGGGGGCTGCGGACGAGGGCGCTGGGCGGCCGCGGGAGCGGGGGTCCGGGGATGCCTGCACCCGGCTGGAGGCAGGGAGCGAGCCGGGCTCCTGCATCCCCCCCTCACCTCCTGCCCAATCAGGTCTTGGGGAGCCCTGCATCCGCCGTCGCCCCCCACCCCCCACGCGAACATGGTGGGGACACGGAGTGGGAGGACGTTGGACTCGGCTCTTAGGAGCCTCCAAAGCCCCTGACCTCCCCAGCGTGATACAGACCCAAGGTGCCCAGGCCTGGGAAAGGGGACTGGAAGCAGGCTTTGGCCCGACTGTCTGACCCCTATCTTTTGCTGGGAGCTGTCTGCAGACTCATTGCAGAGCGTAGGCCTTATGGGCCCCGCTTCCTAGGACAAACCCCTCAACCCCCACATATAGGCTTAGTAAACGCTTAAACCCAGAACCTCTGCCTGGAGAAAGGAGGGGGCAGCTGTCCCTTCTGAGTTAGGAATAGGGCCACACTTAGGCCTGGTGAGATCCAGAGGTTGACCCATGCCTGGGGCTGAGGGCACCCCCATCCCTCCCCACTCCCACACTGTGCTCGGCTTTTCATTTCTTTTACTACTCAGAAAGGGTTGGTTTGAGGCATGAGAATCTGCAGGTAGGTACATCCTAGAAACCTCCAAGTTGCCACACCCAGAGTGAGGCCAGACTCTGCAGCCCCTGTTCTTTTGCCCTCTCTTGTTCCCCTAGGACTCCCCCCTCCCCACCTGCTTGTGCTGTTATGTAATTAACCCAGCTGAATCTCTTTGCCAAGCTGGCAGCATCTAGGGATGCCTGAGGGGCCTAGGGACCTGAAGGGATGTTCGTGGTGGGAGGATTGGTTCTGCCTCAGCTGGGAGCTGGCACAAGCCTGTGAGCACCTGTTGGGGAAGGGACATGTGTGTGACACAAAGGAGGTTAGCCAGCTGGGTGGTCTTCCTTCTCTAAGTCTCTGTTATTTTCTTCAATAAAAGGAAGAAAGGAATCTCTCACAATGCATGTAAGCCCATGCAACAGTAGATAGTGACCCCTTTCAAGATTGCCAGCAGGTCCCACTGAGCACATGGAAAAGCCTTTCATTAGCAAAGGGTCCTGCATGTAACCCTGATGGTTGTTCACTGAACAGCTACTCAGTACCAAGCACTGAGATTTCCAGGCAAAACTTTACTCCTGAAGTTTCTTGTCTAAGGTTATACTACTTTAGGTAAATAGCAAAGCTGAGACTCAACCCTGGGTGTTTGTCACTCCAAACTCTCTCCTTTACTTCCTATTGTGTATGCACACATACCCACAGACTGAGTCCTTTGAACCAGGACAACTCTGTGTGTGTGTGGGGGGGGTGTCATTCAGCTGTGAATCATGCATGTATGGTAAGAGTATGCAACCACCAGAAAACACACACCCACACCCACCCCAAGCTGAAAAACGGCCCCATCAGAGCCCATTAAGCCCACCTTCTCTGGAACTACTTAGTCACTGGAATCGTCATCCAACCAAGTTGAAAGGTTTTTCTCCTCCCAGCTAAGAAACTGACTGGGATTGTCCCAGAAGTGAGGGGCTGCTGACCCCACTTTACATAGATGCAGAGCAGGACTCTTGCACAGGTGATTTGCCCACTGTTCTACAGCTAAAAACTAACAAAGCTGGAGTTTATGAGCATGTCTAAAAGTCACAAAAACCGAGCAAGGGAAGAGTGAAGGAGTTCGTCCCAAAGTCCAGCCCCTTCTTGGTCACCAGCTGTGTTGCCAGGTTCTCTGAGCTCGAAGAGCTGGCAAAGAATCAGACCCGGCTTTTAGCCTGTCACCATTTGAATCACTAGGCTTAATTAAACACTGTAAATACTGCAACCTGTAGAAAGGAGTGGCTGCTGGTCCCAGCTGTGTGATTGGTACACACCGTGCTTCCTCTCCCTGAGGGGTATTGTATTGACCGAGGATAACCGCATAGGCATGCTTGTACCAAGTGCTCAGCAGTGCTGCTCTCCGGAGTCCAGACAGCCATCTAGTTCACTGGGATTTTGGGAAATGCTGGAAGTATTTTTGTTCACCGTGGTAACTGGAGGCTGCCTCAGGCAGTCATCTTCTGGGAGCCATGAAAGTAAGATGTCCTGAAGTGAGACACACCCCACACAAGAAAGAGTTTCCTCCTGCTCAGGATGCCCCCCAAGACCCAGAGGAGTTGCTGTTTTGTCCCAAGCTTGGGGAGAAAGCTGGAATTTGAACCTAAACCCAGTACTCTCCCCACTGTGCTGTGCAGCCTACTTTGGGTGCAGGGGCAGGGAAGGTGATGGAGGATCAGGCCTAATGAAGAGTCAGGTAGAGATGCTGGTTGAGTGAAATGTACTGGAGGGTTGTAGGAACAAGGGCATAAGGAATAATGGCAAGGTTTTGAGTAGGTTGAGATGGATTCTGGAAAGGGGAGACTTTCCCAGTGTTGGGGACAGTGTCAGAGATCCAGAGGTGGAAAAGTACAGGACACGCCTAGGGATAACCAGTGTACTGAACCCACCTCTTGTCCTCCAGTCTAGGTGGAGGCCACAAAGGGCCCAAGGCAAACAGAGGGAGCAATGGTTGGTCCTGACGGTGGCTGAGCCCCCAGCCCCTGGAATATGCAGCCCGGAGGAGCCCCAGGCAAGGACACGGTGGCGGAGTGGGGCGGGAGGCATGGTCTCCACCTACCGGGTGGCCGTGCTGGGGGCGCGAGGTGTGGGCAAGAGTGCCATCGTGCGCCAGTTCTTGTACAACGAGTTCAGCGAGGTCTGTGTGCCCACCACCACCCGCCGCCTCTACCTGCCAGCTGTGGTCATGAACGGCCATGTGCACGACCTCCAGATCCTGGACTTTCCACCCATCAGCGCCTTCCCCGTCAACACACTACAGGTAGGTGGTCTTTGGGGGCAGTTGGGCAATGGGGTTGGGGAGATTTGACTCCAGCCTTCTCCAGCTCTGGCCTATTGCCAAGAGCTCTTCACTGCACCTTGGGCCTCCCTTCTTAGGGCTATCACAGGAAGCTATTTATGTGTGTGCTAGTTAATTGGCAGATATTTGATGATTGTTTAATGAATATGTGGCAGGCGCTGCACTGGGCACCAGAACTGAATGGTCAGCAAAACAGATGTGGAATTTGCTTTCAAGGAACTCATAGTCTGGAGAGAAAAAGACTAACGGGCAGCCTTTACTTAGTGTAATGAGTACTGTGATTGGAGATGAGAGAGCTAAAGCAGCCCTGAAGGGGGGCATCTAAGACACCACTCAGGTGTCTGGGGTCATGGAAGGTGATGTCTTAACAAAGTAGGTTTCAGACAGATAAGGGGCGGTGGGGAGAAGGTCAGGGAACCCTAACTGCCTGTTCATACTCTGAACTCTGCCTGCCACAGCCTCAAACCCTCACTATCATCTGTAAAAGGGAGAGCAGGGCAGGCTGGGACCTGAGACTGGGAGTTCTTAGAGCCTCTGGAGACTCCAGTCAGCTCTCTTGCCCAAAGGCCTCTTCTCCTAGGCCCTCCACTCCAGCCTTAGAGCTGCCTCCGGGCTCCCTTCCTACAGCATTTAAGTGTCTCAGTCCCTAGTGCTTGTACTCCCCAGGCCTCCTTCCCTCTTACTCCCCCTGGATTGAGAAGTGGGCTGCAAGGGAAGCTGAGTTTCCAGATGTGTTTACTCACTGCAGAGTCCTCTGGCCAGAGTATGCAGAGGTTTGTGGGGAACAGTTAGGACAGCTGTGGAGACTCAGGTGGAAGGGGACAAGCCCTGGCCAGTTGTAACAGCAGATTCAGCAGTCTCAGTCTGGGGCTGGCAGGAGCCCAACACTCATCGCTGTCTCAGCAACCCAGGCAAGAAGGCCTTAGTCCAGCCTGCCAGAGAGATTTGTCTCCCATCTCAGATGCCTGAGCTCAGCATCCAAGACAGAAACCTGATTTGAGTATCTCCTCCAGATACAATGTGCCTGGGTAGTCAGCGAGTCCCAGGACAGGGGCAGCGAGTCCCAGGACAGGGGCAGCGAGTCCCTGGCCAGGGGCAGTGAGTTCCAGGTCAGGGCAGGAGTCCCTGGCCAGGGCAGCAAGTCTCCGAGTCCCAGGCCAGGGTCTTTTGCTTCTCTAACAGAGACTTTGATGGTGGCCTGAGTAAACTCTCAAACCTGGCTCTAAGCCTCACATCAAGCTTTGTTTCTTTTTTTTTTTTTCGTCAGTTAGCTGTGTATTTCTCTTTACTGTAATTTTAATTATTTTAATTTTGGATTTGGTCAGATATAATTTATTTTTTAAATTTTGGGACAATTTAAAAAAATATTTTATTATTTTTATGTGTATGCATGTATGTAAGTAAGTATACCCGTGTCATGCAATGCCCATGGAGGACAGAAGAGGAAGTCGGAGCCCCTGGAACGGAGTTACAGACAGTTATTAACTGCCACGTGGGTGCTGGGATTTGAACCCCAGTCTTCTGCAAGAACCGTGTTCTTTCTTTTGAGGGGGGCGGTCTTTTTGAGACAGGGTCACCCTGTAGCCACAGCTGGCCTGGATTTGCTATGGAGACCAGACTAGCCTCAAACTCACAGAGATCCGCCTGCCTCTGCCTCCTGAGTGCTGGGACTAAAGGTGTGCACCACCACATCTGGCACAGACAGTGTTCTTAACCACTGAGCCATCTCTCCAGCCCCAGTCAGATACAATTTAAAAGCCGAAACTGTGACCTAGAGAAATCTTTGTCCCACCCCTGCCCCTTTACCGTATGGCTCTTCTCCCTAGCCATTCTTACTAGTGGTTCCTTCACACCCAAGTAAGAAACAACATTTTTATTTTTATTCCACAACCCCCATTTTTTTTCACATAAAAACAAAACCCACAATGTTCTGTCTTATTTTTAGTTTTTATCGTTGTTGATGCTAATGATTGAACCCAGGGCCTCACACGTTAACTAGGCATTCTACCCCCAGACTTGCAGTCTACACCCCTAGACTTGCACCTTGTTTTTGTTTTTGTTGTTGCGTCTTAGGAAGAGACAGAATCTTGGTATGTTGCTCAGGCTGGTCTTGAACTTGAAATCCTCCTGCCTCATCCTCAGAGTAGTTGGAATAACAGGTACACACCTCCAAGCCTAGTCCTTGACTTCAACTTAACATTATAACCTGGAGCTATTTCATGCCACTGTCTGGAGGAGATCCACATTCTTCTCTCATGGCTAGTCAAAACTCCACTGAAGAGATGTTTCATGGATTTCCTCTTACCAGACAAGTGTGCGGTTTCTAATCTTATGTTGTTTTGGGCAGTGCCAAAAGGAATAGCCTTGTACATAAATCATTTTATACATAAGGTAGGCATATCTGTGGTATCAGCCCTGGAAGGAGATTGCCAGATCAAAGGAGAAATGGATGCGGAACTTGGAAGATGTCTCCAAAGTCCCTTCTATAAAAACTGTACATGTGGGACTGGAGAGATGGCTCAGCCGTAAGAGCACTGGTTGCTCTTGCAGAAGACCTGGTTTGGGTTCCTGGCACTCACATGGTGGCTAACAACAGTCTGTAAACTCCAGTTCCAGGGAATCCAACAACCTCTCCTCCACAGGCATTGTATGCATATGATGCACTTATATACATATAGGCAAAACACTCATACACATAAAATAAAAATAAATCATTTTTTAACAAAAAACTGTACATATGCCTGCAAACAGTGTGCTCAAGAGCCTATTTCCCCCAAAGCCTCACCATGAGAATATATTGTCAAACTTCAGGATTTTTGACAGTCTAGAAGATGAGGTAGGATACTCTGTTTGCATTTCTTTTTGGGGGGAGGTATCCTTTTAAGACAGGGTCTTCCTATAGCCCCACCTGGCCTGGAACTCGATATGTAAACCAGGCTGGCCTTGAACTCACAGCGATGTGCCTACCTCTGCCTCCTGAGTGCTGGGATTAGAGGCGTGCACCACCATGCCCAGCTGTGTTTGCATTTCTAATTGTGAGTGAAGTTATACATGTTTCTATATATTGAAGCCCCTTGTGTTTCTGTTTATTTTTCACGAACTATCAATGTCCTTTGCCTATTTGGGGGTTTTGTTAGCGTTTTTGTTATTCGAGGGTTTTTTTGTTTTTTCTTCTTTGTTTTAGACAGTGTGCCACTGTGTAGTTATGCCTGGAACGTTCTGTGTAGACCAGCCTGTCCTTGAACTCACAGAGATCTACCTGCCTCTGCCTTTGAAGTACTGGGATTAAAGGCTTGTGCTGCCATGCCTGGTGGGTGTTTGCACATTTGTTTTGAAACAGGGTCTTTTGTACCCCAAGCTGGCCAGGAGCTCTCTCTATAACTAAGGATGACCTTGAACTCCTAAACCTCCTCCTCCCATGCTTGATGACTTTTTTCTTCTTGATTGACCCTTATCTTAGATGCTAGGATCTTAAGTCCAGGAACGTAGTTAAGGGACTTTGAGTACATAAGTCCTGAGAAAAAGCCCTGAAAGTTACAAAGACCAAATATAAAACTTAAGAGTCCTGATGACCACTATCCAGAAATAAAATGCTTCCCTGGGTCTGAGCCTGTGGTGCCTTTCACAGCCCCTCCTCCTCCTCTCAGAGCAGGAAGCTGAAGTTAGAGGGAATGTGCCACCTGCCAAAGGAGATGCCAGCAAACGTCACATGACTAAGACCAGGTGACAGCCCCTCAGCCTAGCTAGACTCAATTTCCATTGCTTTTCTTCTGTCTTTGTTTTGTTTTTGTGCTGAGGCTGAATCCAGGACTTGTGCCTGCTAAGCACGTGCTTTACCACTGAGCTGTATGTTCAGACGCTCACCCCCTGTCTTAACATAGCTCCAAGTTGGCGGCCTTTGGGGGAACAAATTAGAACCCTGCACAGAGCAAACTGGTAGGAAGGCTGAGGTTTCTCCATTCCCCCCTTGAGCCAAGGAGTGAAAGGACAGATCATCCAATCAGAAGCCTTCCTCCCCTTTTAGGAGCTTCCAGAAAGGAGTGAGTGGGAGGCCACCTGGGGTCCCCTTGAGGAGGCAGCATGTTGGGGGAGGGATGGGGCTGTCACCCTCAAAGGCTGGCAACTGCTGTCTGTCCCCAGACAAAGTTTTTAGAATGGAACCTTTCCTTCCTCCCTCTTCCCACAGTTCTCCACTCCTCATGGCATTCATCGTGTCTTGCAGCATGCAGTATTCACTGGTCTGAGAAGAAGCAGGTCCATGGCTTCCTGCAGTTTTCTATTTGTCCTCAGCATCCTCCCTCTGCACCAAAAATTAAAAGCTCAGAACAAAGAAAAGATGCCACATCATCTCCCCTGGGAAATCCACTGCAGCATCTTCCAAGCTTTTGAGCTGGAAGTGCTATTCTGATGTCAGACTTCACTCTCCACAGCTGCCACTGAAATCTGTCCTCTCATATTTCAGCTGCAACCCTTGCCCCAGCTCAGCTCAGGCTGGGTCAGGGGACTGCCTCCACCTCCTCCTTGTTCCATGCATGCTGGAGATTGAACCCAAGTCCTCACACATGCAAGGCCATGCTCTGCAACTGAGCCACTCCCCATTCCTCCCCTTCTAGTCTTTTCTGTGAGTTCTCAAGAGAGAAGATCCTCCAAGGCCTCAGGTCCCCAGCTTCAGGGACCTCCTTTCTGCACACTGCCTGAACCTCCTTTTGCAATTACATCCGTTGGCAGGTTAATTAGCTAATTAATTTCTTAAGGAACCTTCTCTTTAGCACATTTAGCCTTTCCAAGGACCTATTTATCCTGAGCTAAAGCCCCTCCCTGAGAAGTTGTCACAAATATTCAAAAAGTTCCTTCCCAGGCCAGCCATGGTGATACATGCCTATAATCCCAGCACTTAGGAGGCTGGGGCAGGAGAGTCAAGAGTTCAAGACCAGCTTGGATTATACAGGGAGACCCTATCTTTTTTTATTTTTATTTTTTGGTCTTTTTTGAGACAGGGTGTCCCTGTAGCCAGAGCTGCCCTGGAACTCACTATGTAGACCAGGCTGGCCTTGATCTCACAGAGATCCACCTGCCTCTGCCTCCCAAGTGCTGAGGCTAAAGATGTGTACCACCACACCAGGCGTGGGAGACCCTGTTTCTTTTTAAGTTCCGTCTTCCAGGAACTCCCAAGCACTCTGCTCTGTCTTCCCCACCCCTCTCCCTTTATGCATTCAGTCTCAATATTTTACTAGGTTTACAAACAGGCTGCAACCTAAGGATTGTTAGGATTAGAATTTTACCTTGTTTAGGGTTGGGCTGTGGGATTCAGAACCATGGAGAGCTCACCGGCATAGCGCTATAGTGATAAAGGCCCATTAGCAGCTGTCAGGGGACCGTGTGTGTAAAATGAAGAAAGCCTGGTTCTGGCCCTCTGAGTGCTCACAGCAGTTGTGGATAACTGGAAGGCTTACAGCTGTAACCAGGGTATAATCCAGAACTTTAGACGCAGGAGGTGAAGGGCATAGTCCCCTACTTGCAGGAAGGGTTGTAGATAAGGAAGGTCTCTGGGAGAGGATTCCAAAGCTTGGAAGATACAAGTACAGTAGTCCAGACCTATGCTCTGGAAGCAATTAATAAATGTACTTGTTGGTGCTGGAGAGATGGTTCAGCACTTAAGAGCACTGGCTGTTCTTAGAGAGGACCTGGGTTCGGTTCCTAGCACCCACATAGTGGCTAACAACAGTCCCTAACTACAGTTTCAGGGGATTTGACACCCTCTTCTGGCCTCCACGGGCATCGCATGCACATGGTGCATTTACATACATGTAGTCAAAATACTCATAGACTTAAAATTAACATAGTAAATCTACTTGTTGAACAAAGGACTGGATGAGACAGGTGTAATCTTCTAGATAGGGACAAGACAGTGTGGTGGGCCTGGAAGTCAGTCAGCTGTGACCTCTACTCTGGCAGGGAAGGGAAAGCTGTAGCTCTGAGCACCTGCCTTCTCCCTGGGCCTGGTCTCCTGGGTGTGGGAGGCTGTGTATGTGGAAAGCTTGAGGTGCAGTGGAGGTGAGAGCACTGGCAGTTTGTTGGGGGGCATCTGGGAGGCCTCACTGCTGCTCTGACTGTGGTACTGGCTGGGGGTGTTGCAGGAGTGGGCAGATGCCTGCTGCAGGGGACTCCGGAGTGTCCATGCCTACATCCTGGTCTACGACATCTGCTGCTTTGACAGCTTCGAGTATGTCAAGACCATCCGTCAGCAAATCTTGGAGACGAGGTGAGGAGCTGCGACACAGTCTATTGCCTCTGTGGATTCCCCCAGTGCTAGCCTGTCCCTAAGAAATGGGGACACGGGGTCACAGGTGAAGTATACGTTCTCTGGGTCCCACATGTACCTTTAAATACCCTTATATTTCTTTCTTCTGTTTTCCTCACTTTCTTCTCTCTCTTTTTGGACAGTCTCACTGTGTAGGCAGGCTGGTCTTGAACTCAAGATCCCTTTGCCTCCGGCCTTCCAAGTGCTGGAATTGCAGGTGTGGGTCACCATACCCAGTTCTGTCCACTTCTGTTGACTCAACTTAGGGCCCCCACTGTGGACTGGCTAAGTTAGTGGTAAAGATCAGGAGCTGTGGCTCAGTTGACATTTAACCCTCAGTTTGCTTGTCTGTAAAATAGACATATCAGTAATACTTTTGGGATGGGGTGTGCTGTTTAAAGATATAACTCTCCCCAAGAGCTTAGTACTGCACCTGGAGCAGAGCTAGCACAGAGCCCAGTGGCTGTGAGACTGGTAGACCTCTTGAGATTTCTGCCTCCCCCCTCCCCCCGCAGGGTGATCGGCACGTCAGAGACACCCATCATCATCGTGGGCAACAAGCGGGACCTGCAGCGGGGACGCGTGATCCCGCGCTGGAACGTGTCGCACTTGGTGCGCAAAACCTGGAAGTGCGGCTACGTGGAGTGCTCGGCCAAGTACAACTGGCACATCCTGCTGCTCTTCAGCGAGCTGCTCAAGAGTGTCGGCTGCGCCCGCTGCAAACACGTGCACGCGGCCCTGCGCTTCCAAGGCGCGCTGCGCCGCAATCGCTGCGCCATCATGTGACGCCCGGTGCGCTCCGCAGAAGCGCTGTCCCCGCGGAGGGAGGGCCGGGCGGGCCAGCGACTTCCTGTGGGACATCTGGGCGGAGCGGGGAGTCCCCCACCACCACCCGGGAGGAGAACTTTGGGCATCCAGCCCGAAGCGCCCCCACAGCCACGCACCCCCGGCGAGAGACAGAGGGCTAGAGGGAGCCTCCCCATCACTCCCCAGCCCCATTCCTGCCGCCTGGGTCTTCCGGGGACGGCCAACTTCAGTGCTGTAGTGTAGTACCAGGCCCGGCCTCCAGGGGCACCACAGCCTTTGAGCAAAGGGGTGAGCATGGAAAATGCAGGGTGGGGTGAGGAGGTGCTCCCTTGGCCGGGCCCCCCGCCCGTCTTCCCCAGAGTGCGTCTGTCTTCCCCATGTCTCCTTTCCCAATGTCTGTCTGCCCGAGTGTCTGTCAGTCCTTATTTGTCCCATCCACCCTTCGGCCTCCCTCTCCACCCCCCAGCTCCACTCACAGGGCTCTCATTTTGTCCATCCCCCTGTCGCAGATCCTGGCAGCTTTGTGATGCCAGGCCTTCTGACCGTCAGCGCCACCGGCACAGGGCAGAGAGATGCAAGTGGCCCAAGGACCGAAATCAAGCGGTCTAAGGGCCAAGGTCCCAGATCTCTTGGGGATAGAAGGCTGAGTTCTCCCGTGTCCAGAGAGACCTCCCTGCCCAGAAGCCCCCAGAGACGCAACCACCTACCTTCCAGCCTTAACTCAATGGTCCGTCCCTGCCGGGTGCCCCTCACCCCTCCTGACCCCAAAGCCAGATCACCCACAGGCCTAATTTTTGTTTGTTTTATTTTGAAACATGGAGAGGAAACTTCCCAAAGGGCAGTTTTCTTTCTATGATGCTAGGTTCCACTTCTCTATTACCTCCTGCACTGGGGTGGTCTACCAGGTTGGGGGATGTTGAGTTGTGGGGGGACTGGTAGTGGTGGCAGGGTGGTGCCTAGGTTGGGGTCAGATGTGCCAGTGATGATTCTGTGTCCCAGTCCCCCCTCAGTTTGACTTCCCCAGACTCTGCCTCCATCAAATCTCAGGTTGGCCTTGATCAATCTGTGCAGAAGTAGAGCCAGGAAAAGAATGAAAGGGACTCTTATGCCCAGAGGAAGTAGGTATGCATCCCCACACATAGGTGGAGGCCCTCAGGATCTGACCCCTTGTCCCAACACCAGGTTGGCTTTATGCCCTAACTCACCCCATCCCGTTTTCTCCGGCTGCCTGGCCGGGTTTCTACCTCTCGTCACCGGAGCTGATCACTGTCAGTTTTGTACCGATTTAGAAATAATAATAATGGAGATTCCAGGAACGGCCTGGGGGATTTCTGGGGGACTTGGAGAAAGGGAAAAGTGGTACCATGTCCCCAGCCCTGGCCGAAGAAAGTCCTTGAGACTGAACCCTAGTTCGGTTGGGAGGATTTCAAGGACGCACAGAGGGGCACATGGAACAACCCAGCCTTCATCAAGGCTGCAGTGTGTAGATCAGGAAATCAGGTACCCAGGGAGGTGATGGAGAGGAATCTGGGGGCACGGTTGGGGTGGGGAATTTATCATCGGGTTCTAATGTGGGAGGGAACCTATAATTCTTTTGCTTCACCCACTGATTCCTGTTCCCTCCACTCACCAGGGGCAGCACAGTAGAACAACAACAGCCCTGACCTGGGGCAGCCCAGCATTGCTGGGTTCTAGTCCCTGCTGTGCTATACAACTTTTGGCAAGTAACTTGCTCTCTCTGAGCCTCCCTCTGAAATAGAGGTGGTGGCTCCCCTTCACACTTCAGAGTGGCTGGAAGGGTAAGGAAGAGGGCTACCCACTTTTGTCTCCTGCATCCCTACCCCTGGTTTCCAGGGGGGTGTAGTAAAGGATGGCAGGATCTCATGTGCCCGATCACCCCCAGTTCTGAGGCACTCGAGGTGAGGGTGGGAGATCCAGACCTCTGGCTGTCCCCTTTGGGAGCCATTGGAATGTAGCCTCCCTCTTCCCTTCCTCTTCACCCCAGGTTTTGGATTTCAGGTCCCTCACTCCACCCCCATTCTGAGTCTCTGTCCTTCCCCTCCCCCACCAGGGTTTCCCACCACAGGGTCTGGAAGTGTGTGTGACGCCCATTGAGCTGTTATTGGAAGTCAGATTAAAAATCAGGGAGTGTTTTCCCCGTTTCTCTACCTCCGTGTCAGCTCCATTCCTCATGGAGGGAGATGTGGGTCCCCACAGTCCAAGTAGGCTGGGCTATGTGGGCAGAAAATGAAACTTATGAGATAGCCCCCATTCTAATCCCCAATTCAACCCAGGAATCAAAGATAAAAGGTTCTGGACTTAGGTCCTTTTCCTCCAACCAAACCAATCAATCAACCCAATCAACCATACAGAGGGCAACATCACCTGCCCTTGCCACTGTGTGGAAAACTCAGTCCTAGCTGCTTCTACATCTTCCCACCCAGATTTGGGGACCTCTAAGTCATAACTTCATAGATTCAGAAGTATGGGCAATGCTATCAGCCATCACTCTTCACCCTGAAGGCTCCTTGTGTCCAAGCCCAGGGATAAAAAAATCTTTGAAGTTCATGGTGCTTGGAAATTTATTGAGCTGTCCTTGTCGCTATCCGTGGTGCTGACCACCAGGAAAAAGGTCAGCTGAAGATCAATAGAAGTCTGTCTTGCTCTCAGCTCCCTTCACCTTGTTCCCACCCCCTCCATCAGGAACAACACTTGAAGCTGCATCTCTCTAGTCCTAGGGGAGGAATTTAAAAAGCTGGGGCTCAAGGACAAGACTCACATATGTTTAATAACTTAGAGCTCTGGGAAACAAGTGGAAATGTCTAAAGGCCAAGGAGCTGTCCTGGGGCAAGGCATTGCCGCTGGCTTGGTGGTAAATCAAAGTGGAGAGCTAATCTGCCCTTTTGTTCAACTTAACAGAATGGGTCTTTGAACCCACTCCTGGCAAAAGCCCCGTGCTGAGTAAGGGACTGTCCCTTCTGTTCATACATTGGCATCTTTTTGCTTCACTCCTCCCCCATCCACAGGCTCTTCAAACCCAGGATTCCTCCTCAGGTGGAAATGGGGCTTGATCAAGCTGCTGAGGCCCCTGGCTCTCTGAAGGCTGGGGACTGCTTTCCAACAAGATGCCAGGCTCTTTCTTTTCTTCCTCTTCCTTTTGACCTGCTGGTGCTCCATTTACCTGGCAAGCCTCCTCTCTCTTGCTGCCCAATGTAGCTCTCAACAGCCTGCTTCTGGGGACTGCCCTGGCTGAACCCAGGCAGAGGTAGGCCAGTGGCTTGGGGATTCGGGAAGGTCTTTTCTCAGGTCTGTGGTCTCTGCGGGGCCGAATCCGGGGCCTCAGCTTCAGCTTGTAAATAGATGGAACCTTCTGGGGCTTCCGGAGTGTTCTCTTGCCTTTGCCTGGACATACCTTGGATTTGTCAGACTTGGGATCTGAGCAGGAAGGAGTGGGAACCTCTGGGATGGTGGGCACAGTAAGGGCGGAGCAATCCTGTTCTGGAGGGGAAAAAGTCCTCCCTGGGGTTCTCTTGGCACTCAGACTTGCATCTGTCCTTGGCCCACTCTCTCTTGCCCCTAGCTTTTTGGGGGGGCTTCCTGGGCCTGCAGCAACAGCTGCTTTAGGGAGGTCTCCAGGGGCTATCTCCCAGGCCCCCAGATCCACTTTAAGGAGGGATGGGGGACCCTGAGCCAGCTCTTGGATGACTTTATCATAAAGACCCCCAGGATCAGGCCACTGCCCACCCAGGCTGGGAACATAAACTCCACTTCTAGGGATGGCTTGAGACCTTGTCCCCTGGGGACAAGCAGCCCCCACCTCCAGTAGTTTCATGTTGGCAGTAATCTCTTCAAGACTATGGTAGATGGCTTGCTCCTTGGTTCTGCTCAGAGACAGAGGAGTGTGCATTCTCTCCTTCTGAATTCCCAGGTCCCCAGGCTCCCCAGGCTCTACAATGCACTGGGTATCTGGCTGCTGGTCCCTATGCTTTGCTTCCTCAGAGTGGCACCCATGTGTGGATCCAGCCAGGTTCCCAATGACAGCCCTTAACTGAACGGAACCTTTCCCTCTGGGACCTCCACTTGTAGTACTCAAAAAGCTTCCTGGGGTCAGGGGTCGGGCAGGAGACCACCGGATAGGGATCTTGGTGAGTCCTTTGCCAGGAGATGGGGATCGATTAGATGTGGGTTCACTGAGCTGGGGTGATGCACCCTGGTGTAGCAGCCAGATACCATGAGGTTTGGCTAGGCTGGAAGAACAAGGTGGGGGAGATGGTCCTCTTGCTGCTCTTCCTTTACTGGTGGCCTCAGGGGCTCTGTGTCTCTGGGGCTTGAGGGTCTTGGCATGAGTTCCTTGGCTGTCTGTTTCCCCATGAACCCAAGACATGGGAGTCATTCCTCTGGGAAGTTCACCAGGACATCTTTCTTCCTTATCCCTTGATGGGGTACTCCGTAGGTCTCTGCCCCTACAAGTAGATGAGAATTGGGGACCAGGTGGGCTGCCCCCAGCTGACAGCATCCCCTGAGATGGAGCTAGTGGCCTTTCTTGGGACCTTTTTGAGAAGGAGAATGAGGGCATGTTGGAAAAGGAGACTCAGCCAGCAGGGGCCTTTCGACATGGGACCACTAAGAGAAATGTAGAACACGCATTCCACCCCAGGACTGGCCAAGAGCCCACCCATAGTAGCCACTCTTTCAGTTTACTCTCCCTTGTTCCCAGTGTAGTGGATAGAAGGTGACTTCAGATCATTCAAGGGAAGATTCCAGACCAGAAGACTGACTACCAGAGACAACTCCTTTGGGACAGGTCTCAGGTTCCACACTACCATGAAATGGAGGACATTGAGTGTGGCCATTCCATTTCTGGGCCTCAGCTTCCTTGTCTGTGAAATGGGTAGGTACATGGTGTAACTAGATGCTCACAAAGTCCTGGGTGCCGTTTTGATTCAAGATACCTGAGGTTTTGTTTTGTAATACTGGGGTGTTAAATCCAGGGTCTTGCACATGCTAGGAGAGTGCTGTGCCATTGACCTACATACCCAGTCCTCCCCTCTCCCTTTTAATTTTATTTTGAAATAGGGCCTCCATAAGTTGCCCAGCCAGGTCTCAAATTCACAATCCTCCTGCCTCAGCTACCTGAGTGCTAGGATTATAGGCATACACTATCACACCCAGCACACCTGAAGTTTAGTTGGAATTGGGGACATTATTCCCTTTATCTTGGGAGATGGGCCTCTGAGACTATGAAGGAGATCCTTCCTTGCCCCTCTGGTACCTTAAGAACGGAGTCATTTCTCTGCGGGTCCCTGCTGCTGGTCGCCATTCACCACGGGGTCTGGGAGAGGAGGGGGTAGGGGGCCTCAGCTTTCGGCCAGAAGATGTATATGTCTTCCAGTCCACTGGTGGCAACGGGCTCTGTGAGCGATTGATGGTCATTGTAGGCTGGGGCTGTGAAGGCACGTCCTGCACCCTTACTTCATGCTGCACCAGTGGGTGGGGGTGCTTCAGGAAGCTGCCTGGTTTGTGGGCTACCAACATAGCCCACCAGAGAAAGCAAAAGAAAGAGGACTCTAATTCCTGCTCATGAGGCCCATCGTTTACCCTCCCCCAGCTGTCAAATGCTCCTCTCTACAGAACTATCACCTATAGTGACCACCCCAGAATTTCCTTTGCAGGAGGAGTTCAGAGGGCCCAGCCCCAGGGGACTTTCCAAGAGCTGTGCTGTATTGCCATCTGCAACTTTTGGTTAGATTATGCGCTTATTCGGGGTGACTTGAGGTGCTGATGGAGATAATGGAAGGACTGAAATCCTTCCAGGTCCTGCTTGGTGCCACCACTGAGGACCTCAAGCCAGACCTGAACACTGTTGAGATGCACCATGGCCAAATGCTGCTTCTGCTTATGTTGCGCACCATCTTGTGGCTATTATTAGTACTGCGCCGTGACTGCCTGGCTGTATCCTCCATCCTCACCCAGGGTTCCCTGCACACCTCAGGGCCAGTGGAGATCAAGCCTATTCACCCTCCCGCTGGTGGCCTCCCTGCCAGCCCTATAGGGGAAGACTCTCGGGGAACTCACAGAGGGACGTGCATCGGCAGGGATCATGTTTGTCCAGATAATGGCCCAGCGTGTCCCATCCGCCCCCTACACGCACCATCACATGACTTCGGAGGATCTGAGAGGGCAAGGATGAGGTTGAGAGCCAGGAAAACAGCATTCCCTCTTCCTAGACTACCTTGCAAGTTTCTAGCCTGCACTCAGGGATATGCCTATCCATATACTCACGCACGGGATTCGTATTTAGCAGTCCTGTCTCACCCATGACTGGCATCAGACATCACCTTTGTTGTTAAGGGTAAGGGTCAAACTGGCAAACAAGCAGGTGTTCACCACCCCCATCCCCAACTAAACAAGGGATTATATGCGCGTTGGGTAGCCCAGCCCCAGGGCATTCCCTCTGCTACAAAGGGGTTTGTTTGTGTCTGCCAGTGCTTATAAATGATGTGGGGCCCCCATGGCCCTGAATCTGTAAAGTACGACAGATGATGGGAGTCCTGCCCCACTCTGTAATGAGACAGGTACCACAGCTTCTTCAGGCTTTCTCATTTCAGAAGTGGGGCTGCAATTCCTGACCCATACCCACATCATAAGACTATTGTCTGAGAGTCTGTGGGTAGGCTCAAGGTGCTGGCTCTGCTCCTACATGTGCTCTGTGCCAGAGGAAAGGACTTGGCCATGCCCATCTGCTGGCCACACCCTTGGGCACAGAACATTTTTGGAGATGCAGCTGGGTATAGGGGTAGTGAAAAACACATCTTAGACCCACGCTGCTGTTCACTCATAATGGATTGTGCCAGGGTCTGAAGAGTAGACTTTGGAGTCCGAGTGGCTGGGACTGTGCACTGAACACAGACACAGGGTCTCAGCCTACCCCTCTTCCCTAGCCTGTGGAATTCAGAAGTGAGGATACCTTCTTCACACCCCATTTCTGCCTAGGGACACTCTCTAGACTGGGCTCTGCTGGAGATAACAGAGGGTGAAGATTCACTGATGGGAAGGTGGGACAGGCTTGACAACTTTGTTGTGAATCTCCTGGAAATCTCAAAGCAGAGGAGAGCCTCAAGGCCTGGTAATTTCCTGTCCTTTCCCTCAGGCTTGGGCAACATTCCATGGAAAGAAACTGACCCTTGAGGCCCCTATACCCTAGGCCAAACTTACCCGGATGAAGATGAGGGTGTTGGAGTCCCCAACTTGGTACTTTCCCTCAGATATCTTGACCATAGAGAATTGCACTGGGCATGTACAATGGCTCACCAGGCTCTGCACCTGAGGGCAACCACAGAGGCTCAGCCCTCCTCTCTGCCTGAGATCCCAAACCCTCTCACAGGCTAGTCAAGCCAAACAGGGTGCCTGCCTGCCTCTAGACAACACCTTCCCCAGTGCTGAGATCAGGGCTGGGGGCTGAGAGGCAAGTGGAGGCAAGAGGCTTGTTCTTTAACCCAATAAGAACAAGACCTGAAGGGGCTGGAGAGATGGCTCAGTGGTTAAGAGCACTGGCTGCTCTTGCAGAGAACCCAGGTTTGATCCCCAGCACCCACATGGCGGCTAGCAACCAGTCATGATGGGCATTACATGTACATGATGCACTTACATACATGCAGGAAAAACACTCATACACAAAAATAAAAAGGAATACAAAGAATAAGCCCTGAGGCAGCTACCTATGGCCCTGCGCCCTCATGAGCCAGTTAACAAAGGCAGCAGAATGATGGTGGGTTGTGTTGCCCGATCAGCTTGGGGTAGAGTAGCTAAGAAACCTCCCAGGAAGATAGCCTGAGCTCTTGTCTGAGAGCACATATAGCAACATAACAAGGGAAAGGAAAGAGAGGAGGAAAGGCAAGGAAAGAAAACAATGAAGAAAAAGAGTTCTGAAAGAAAAAGGGAAGCCTCCTGGGGCAGGTTTCCCCCGTGTTGGGACTGGAGTTGGTAGCAGGAAGCATCCTCTTGTGATGGGCCCCTCTCTGCAGACGCTGCTCCACGCAGTTTGTGTGTGTGTGTGTGTGTGTGTGTGTGTGTGTGCGCGCGCGCTGGTTCATTCAAATTCCCCACTCATAGAAGGTATGTACTGTAACTGTCGTTACACGTCAGGGAATCAAGGAACAGAGAAGTGAAGGAATTTGCCCAGAGCCACACTGTGGTGAAGGGGTCTTGAATCACCGTGTTAGCAGTTAGGGAGGATGCCGTTCATATTCTCGGCGCACAGGGCTAAGTGAGAGATGTGCAGTGCTGGGCTGGAGTAAAGGTAATAAGTGGCATCGCCATTGCCACGTGTGGTTAGGGTCCGAGCTCAGAATGGAGCCTGGGGACAAGCGCTCAAGCGGGGAAGACGCGGGCAGGGTAAAGGCTGGGCCTGAGGCTATATGCCCGGCTCCTCACCATCTGGTCCAGGTTGCGGAAATGACAGGACTGGCGCACCGGGGGCGCAAGTAGCGGTGGGTTGGGCGCCGGCAGGGCCAGTTCGCACCGTAGCTCCTCGTCGATCTCCTCTTCCAGATGCACCAGGGTGGGCGCCGCCACTCCGAAGCGCCAGGCACGGCGGCCCAACTCCAGCAAGCACAGAATCACGTTCTTCACGTTCTTGCGCAGCACCAGGTCCTCGGTCTCGAACATCAGCACCTCTAGTGACAGGGACAGGGGAGAAAAGGGGGCGTAGGTGGCTTAAGTCTCCTGCTGACCTCCAGGGAGTTCCCTGGAGACCATCTCAAGACAGGGGTAGCAGGCAGAGGAGGTGGCTTGGGTCTCAGCACCTGTGGTTGGGGCAGCTCCTAGAAGGGGTCTGGGCACAGCCCAGCGCAGGTGCAGGGTCCACACAACGCAGCCAAGCTAACCAGAAAGGCTGAATGAAGGTGAAGCAAAGGAATCAAGTCTAGCTGCCCTCATCCCCCTGCAGGTCAGGGCCCAGGGTTCGGCCCATACTGCTCTTCTCCTGCCCACTTAGGCACCAAGATGGTCCCAGGAGTCAGAAGTCGTTTCCTCCACTTCCCATTTTCCGCCCATCCTCCAGGCACCCCAAACCCAGGCCCTCAGGAAACCAGGCAGTTTTGACTACAGGCTCTGGATACCCCATCCCTAAAGCTGAGTCTCCACGCTCCCAATGTTATGTGGCCTTTGGCTAGTCCCAGAGACCCAGTTTCTTCTGAAAAATGGGGGTGAGGCCTAATTCAACAGAAAGCAGCCGGTTTTTATTTGTTTGGGGGTTGAGGCTGGAACCCAAAGCCTGGTGCATAAGCCACACTCCCAGCTCAGCTGTTACCTTTGGTTAACCTCTGATTCTGCTCCTCACCTCCTTGCTACCAGCCAGCATCCAAACCTGACTCTTCCTCTGTATCAACTCAGCCACCTTTGTCCTAGAGGTTTGTGTAATCGCATCTCATCCCATTCCTGGGTTCAAAGCCCATAAGGTATCACTCCCCTGAGTCCTACAAGTGCCCACATGACTGTGCCTCCTGGGTCCTCCTGAGCTCTTCTCTCACCCTAGTTTCCAGCTTGTCACCCAGCTTCTCCCAGTCACCCCCTTTCCTGTGATTTGCTGCTACTATCCCTAGTCTAGTTAACTCCCTTCCCTAAACATCTCTCTTTAGCCCAAATCTCCTTCCTCTTGCTGCCTTTCCTGATATCCACTGCTATATCATCAGGCCACCTGGCAACCCCTCTGGCTCCCATACTATACTCCGTGACCTTCAGCACACATTCACTCTGGGTTGTAATTTCTGAACTCATCCATCTGTCTGCCTTGCTATGTCATACATCTCTGGGGCACTGGGTCTCATCCCTCCAAGGTTTTTTGTACCCAGCATGGTGCCAGACACAGAAAAAGTAATTTACATATCTGCATTGACCGAATCATTGAGGAATGTTTATCATTTGTCAGTGCTTACTAAAAATTTACTGTGAAGTAGAGAAACTGATACATGAAAAAGATGAACTACCTCATAGCAAATCTAGAAGACTCTCAACTCCTGACCCCCAGATCTAGCCTGAGCATCAAAGAGAAGATGAGTGCCCTGAAGGATAAGGGTCTAGGATAGGTACGTTACCTTGGATGCCCATCTCCTTTCGACACCACTGGATGAAGTTGGAGACATTGTCCCTGGCCTGGAAGGTGCCTGGCTGGGCAGCTCCATTACAGAAAACCCCAGCCCGGGGCATGGGAATCCTTTGGGCTTGGTCAGGTGCCTCAGCCAGGAAAGCCAGAGCAGCCTCAGTGACAGTGTTGGCATGCCGGCACAGCACCAGGCCCGTCTCCAGCACCTGCAGGAAGTTGTCTGCGTCAATGTCCAGCCCATATAGATCCCGAAGCCACTCGGCCAAATCTTCCTTCATGGCTTCCAAGTACTGCTCGCCGGATTTGAAGGACCGGATGCTGCGCACAGGAGGGCCTGGGGTCCTGGGCCTCCTCCTGTGTCCCCCATGCTGAGACATGGCTGGAAGTGGAGTGGGGGAGCAACTGGGGAGCTCCTGCTTCCCACTGCTGTCCCTCTACTGCTAGGTCTAGGTCTTGGCCCAGGTCTCCCTGCTTCAAGGGGTCCCCTTCTACCCTAAGAGAGCCCAGGGCTCCAGGCTCTGCAGTTTGCTGCTGGCTTCAGCCTCTGGGCCAGACCCAGCCCCCACCACCCCCATTTCTCAGTCCCTGCCAGAACTTTCCGTTTGGTGGCCCTGCAGCGACCTCACTCTCAGCTGCCCAGTCCACTCAAGAGTTCAGTGTCTCTCAGGACTGGTGGAGGTGGGGGCACTCCTCTCTTCCCAGGGCTGGACAGGTCAGCTTCGGCTTCCAACCCTCTACTGCTACCGGCCAGGGAGCCTTGAAAGGCTTTGAGACTACAGCCTCCTCCCTGCTCTGCTTTCATCTCCTCTCCTTGGAGACAGCAACTGCTACAAACACTCCTTGTTAACCCGTCCTTCCAGGGCCTGTGGCCCTGCTGAGAGGCCTGAGCCAAGGGAGCAGGGTAGAGCAGGTGGGGCTGGATTCTCTCATCCATCTGACCCTCTGTGGGGTACTTGGGGGAGTTGAAGGAAAAAGGCAGAGGCAGGGACTTGGGGTTTAATGAGTACTGGATAATGGGCACAGGAGACACAGTAATAGAGTCCAAAGATGAGAGTTTTGTCCTAAATTCCTCTGAGAGTGGCATAGTCTCTCTGCCTTAGTTTCTCAACTGTCAAATGGGAATGATGCCATCTGCCCATGGGGTGTTATGAGGAACTGATAATGTGTGAAAAATATTAGCTCTCAGAACACACAGGCACAGGTCTGATGAGCCCCAGCTCTCACTGAGTCTCCCAGCAGCCCTGTCTATGCACCATGATTCCCATCTTCTCTGGAGAACCTGTTCCATCCCTGCCCCAACCATGTGATTTCTGGAACAGTGGTCATAGCAAAGCATCCATTCAGTAAAGATTTCTTGAGCCCCTCCTTGTGCCAGGCACAATCGTAGGCTTGAGAATATAGCAATAAGCCAAAATATCAGTGCCTGAACTCATAGAGACCATTTATATGTTACTAGGTGATGAGCGACAGATGAGCAAACGAATCTAGTCAGGTATTGGTGGCACACACCTGCAACTGCAGCACCTGAGAAGCTGAGGCAGGAGGGTTGAAAGTTCAAGGCTAGCCTGGGCTATATAGCAAACTCAAGGCCAGTCTGGGATACATAGTGAGGCCCAGTCTTGAAAACCAAAAATCAAATAACAACAATGAAATAAATCTGTAATAAGTCAGATGGTGATAAATATCAGGAGGAATAAAGGAGAAGACAGGGGCTGGAGAGATGGCTCAGCAGTTAAGAGCACTGGCTGCTCTTGCAGAGGACTGGGGTTCGATTCCCAGCACCCACATGGCAGCTAATAACCATCTGTAACTCCAGTTCCAGGGGAATCTGACACTCTCTTCTGATCTCCATGGTCATTGCATGACACGGGTGTACTTACATACACACAGGTAATACACTCATAAACATAATAAATAAAATATTTGAAAAAGGAGAAGACAGTGGGGAGACTTTCTAGAAAGGAACCAGGGAAGAACTTGATAATAAGGGGCCATTTAAGCAGAACTTGAGAGAAATGAGAACCTGTGCCCACAGCTGTCTTAGGGAAGAAAAGCCGTGATGCAGAAGCTTGGGAGCAGGAACATGATTGGTATGCTCTAAGAATAGCAAAGGAGGGGCTGGAGAGATGGCTCAGTGGTTAAGAGCACTAACTGCTTTCGTAGATGACCTGGGTTCAGTTCTCAGCACCTCACCTGTAGCTAACGATCATCTGTAACTCCAGTTCCAGGCGCTCTGACACCCTCTTTTGGCCCCTGTGGGCATTGTACTTACATGCAGGCAAAGCACTCATATGTATAAAATAAAAATAAATATATACATTTTTTAAAAGAATGTTTGCTGCTCTTCCAGAGAACCTGGGTTTGGTTCCCAACACCCATGTCTGGTAGCTCACAGCCACCTGTAACTCTAGCTCCAGGGGATCCAATGCTTTCTGGCCTCTATGGGCACTGGCACACATATGAGGTCATATACTGCCCGTGTCACATATTATCCTTTGGTTTTATTTTCTTTTTTATTACCTATTAAATATACAATGTGCCATTTATACCAAAACAGGCTTGTATAGATATGGGCTCTAATTTGTCAACCCTTACATCACATGAATTAATAAATTCCTTTTTTAAAAGTCTTCTTCGTCCTCATGTGGTGGCATACACCTTTAACCCCAGCACTCGGGAGGCAGAGGCAGGAGGATCTCTGTGAGTTCGAGGCCAGCCTGGTCTCCATAGTGAATCCAGGCCAGCTGTG